CATTGGTGGACGAATGTTTCAATGGATAAAAGATTATATAACTGGCAGGGGTTTCTTTGTACAAACATATGAGGGTACAACTGCCCAACATTACACCTACTGCGGAGTACCTCAGGGAGGTGTTTTAAGCCCCACATTGTTCAATGTGGCCCTCATTGGTCTGGTGAAGGTTCTGCCAAAGTCGGTGTGCCTATCCATATACGCCGATGATATTTGCCTCTGGAGTGCTGCAGTTACTCGCCCTCAGGTGCGTGCACGAGTACAGCGGGCAGCAACCCTCACAACAGCCTACCTTCAGAAACAAGGCCTAAATATATCAACTGTGAAGTGCGCGTTGATGGCGTTTACACGCAAACCAATGACGCCATACCCTGTTTACATCAATGGGCAGAGTGTCAAATATGCACGGACGCATCGTTTCCTGGGCATAATAATCGACAGAAGTCTTTCGTGGAGCCCACATTGTGCGTACTTGAAGAAGAGACTGCTATCTATTGTGCATATCATGAAATTCTTGTGCGGTAAAGCATGGAGAACTTCTGTGGCCTCTATGCTACAGCTGTACAGGGCCCTATTTCTGGGTCTATTGCACTACAGCTTGCCGGTACTGACTAACACTTGCAAATCGAATACTCATTCATTGGAGAGTTTGCAGGGTCAGGCACTGCGTATCTGCCTAGGACTGCGCCGATGCGCTTCTACTTATGCTACAATCATGCTTGCCAAAGACCATCCGGTCAGGACATATATAGTTGTGGATTGCCTCAGAGCGCACATTCGACATGCTAGCCGTGTCCCCGACCACAACTTGGCCCTACTACCTTCTGGAAGACCACGTGCTACGTTTTCAGACGTCATAGCCAAGCACCTAAACAGCATTCCATCAGGATATACGCCAGCTGCGAGAACGGCATGCCCTTTGTGGTGCTTCGACCAGCCGCAAGTACGTCTAGAAATTCCGGGAATCAAAAAGAAAAGCAGTCATTCCAGTGTAGCATTAAAACAAGCAACACTGCTATTATTACACGAGTTGTACTTAGACCGAACGCAGATATACACTGATGGGTCCGTCTCATCCAGCAGCTCATCAGGTGCCGCTGTGATTCCGGCTGCAGAAATGACAATCAAGTTTAAGTTGTCGCATATGACTACATGTACGGCATCAGAGCTTGCTGCTATAAGGGCTGCTTTACAATATCTCGTTCAAGAACGTCCAGGAAAATGGGTCATATTCTGTGATTCGAAGGCAGCGCTTCAGAGTTTGCAGTCTGCCATGCGTAGGAGGAGCCATGACCAACTGGTACAAGAAATAAGACATTGCCATCATGAAGCTCTAGCACGAGGGCATGATATTATATATCAATGGCTGCCTGGACATATCGGTATTACCAGAAATCAATTAGCCGATGATGCAGCCCGCTCAGCCCATGAAGAAACCCGTGTAGTCCCGATTCCTCTATCAAGGAATGATGCAGCAAGACAACTTTACCTGCTGGCTCGAGATCTCACACGCACGTTCTGTTCGTCTACCAGCTTCCAAAGGTGTCAATTTTATGAACTGGATCCTTCGCTCAAGCTAAAGCTACCATCACAACTTTCCCGCTCCGATGCGACACTGTTATGCCGCCTTTGGTTGGGTGTTGCATTCACAAAGGTGTACTCCTTTCGCATTGGTATGGCAGACACTCCTACATGCGACTACTGCGGAGATGAAGAGACCATCGAACACGTCCTGTGCAGCTGCGCTTGCTACGACACACAGCGATGCCAGCTACGGATGGTTTTGAATCAACTTTACCCCGGACCATTTTGTGTGCAGAAGATACTAGGACCTTGGGCATCTGCCTCAGTTGCGCAGAAAGCAACTAAAGCACTGCTACTTTACCTTAAGTGCACAAACCTGAGCGACCACCTGTAAACTGTTTGTGCTCCCCGAGTGTGCTCGTGATTGTGTGTACCTCCTCATCTTTCTGCAACCTCTTTTCTCCCCTTTATCCCTTCCCCAGTGCAGGGTAGCAAACCGGATGTGCCTCTGGTTAACCTCCCTGCCTTTCCTTGTATTCTTATCTCTCTCTCTCTCTCTCTCTTGTTTGTGAATACGTGCCTAGGATGGCCATGCGGGGCCACCATCCTTAGCTAGAAGAAGTGTTTGGGTGCACTCTATGAGCCGAGCTACCGGTTCCGAGCTGGCTCCGGGGGGTGAGGCATGGCGTGTTCAAAATAATATGGTGGCGGTATACGGTCGAAGTGAATAGGCTTCCGTTGGGCGGACTGTGAGGTGCGCGCTCATCTCGCCAAGTGTTTTTGTGGGACGACGATAGTTATAGCGCGAGAACAAAACGACGACACAGAGACAAGAAGGACACGAAAGACACGAGCGCTAACTTCCAACTGAGTTTAATGCGCAGAGCATGCGCAGAGTCCTTCTTGTCTCTGTGTCGTCGATTTGTTCTCGCGCTATAACTATCGTCATGCCATACCAACCAGCCCAAGCTGCCACACTTCAAAGTTTTTTGTGGGATGCGGAGCGCATATGCTGGAGAGGGCGATGAGCATCCTTTGCGGCGCGCTCGCAGGTAGAGTCCCGCGTTCCTCGTTTTGTGAGGTGTGGTGCAAGTCTTCCGTTTTCTCCCCCCTCAATAACAGAGCCCTTGTCTGTCCACGTCCAGCACCTCACTTTGAACCCCTCGATCCAACCACTGAAAAAATAAGCATAAGCAGAATAGAACGCGCGTTTTTTAGAACCATTTATTAACAATTTCAGCGCGCGTCCATGGAATAAAAAAAGAAGGATTTTTCTTCCACAACCCTCAAGTTTATTAAGGCAAAATTTTCTGGGCGGGTAGTGATAAATGTGTAATTTATCCTTAGTGGTTTCTTCAAGAAGCGACAATGTCTGTGAAAATTTTAGTAGAGGTCAAATGATGAATACTTAACATAATATGTCCCATTCGTTTAGAATAGTGAATCTGTTTTTAAAATTAACTATTTACAAAAATTTATAGAGACAACTTGATCTCTTAGTAGTGACCAGCATAAGAGAATGTTTTCGAGATAAAAAAACTGGGGGATCTTAAGCTTCGCGTTTAAGAGTTGAACGCGAGAGTGAAATCCGGCACATAGTGCACCCTTCAACCGCTAAGTGTATACTTATTATTGACTTTTGTTACATACACACGCATCCCCACAAACACGCACACAGTAGATTTGGCCAGTGAGCGCTATTATCGACGAACGGGCTGGTCGAACACTAGCTCTCTAACGCTATCGTGTTAAAAGGGGCATGCGCTCGCTTCACGTTAGACTGTTTAGAAAAAGTGGGTAACAATTTATAGCATGATGCTGCTGACCCGCAGGTTGCGGGTTCATATCGCGGCTGCTGCGGCTGCATTTCCGATGGAGGTGGAAATGTTGTAGGGCCGTGTGCTCAAATTTGGGTGCATGTTAAAGAACCCCAGGTGGTCGAAATTTTTGGAGCCCTCCACTACGGCGTCTCTCATAACCATATGGTGGTTTTGGGACGTTAAACCTCCACACATTAATCAATTTATAGTATTATATAGGTACTCTATTATTGGAAAGCATGAAGCCGTCCGTGGGCCTCACACTTGATGAGGCCCTTTTCACAAAATATCTAAAAAACAGAGCGACCCCCTCACCAGAGACTGCTTCCTTTGCCATTCCTCTGGGCAGAAAACTTTTATCACTGTCATATTTCGGTAACGTCATGCATGACATACTTGGCGCATGCGAGTACACAGTATAGTGTGGCTTCCGGGAGTATGCAGCAACGTGAACGTTTGAATTCTTCGTTTTTCAATCATCGCTGGTTTGTCGTCAATCGAATGTTTCTGATATATCAATCTGATTTCTTATCGTGGTCGCTGGTCATTGCACGTTTCCCCATTTTATTGTCACTTGGATATTGCCACAGGCTCCTATTTCCCTCAAATTCTTACGTTATTGGCCCATTACACGTGTCACTCTTTCCTCGCGCACACGACGCCCGAATGACTGGGAACCTTTCAGATTATCTTGGAACCACGTGCTTGGAACCTACCGATACAATTACGCGCACAATGCGAACATTCGAGCTTGTTCAGGAACTTAGGTGGCCACTAGCAATAACGCTGGAATCTTCGATGGCACATGTACAAATACCGACGCCTTTTACCGCTTGGCACATTACTTCACGGCCAACGCATGTTCTCAACGTTATCAGCCAGTGCGCAGCGTGCATCGTTTGTATCTTAAGTTTTCATTTTACTGGCACAGGTTCACCCTAATGAATAGTTTCTTATTTATGAGTCTTGTTGCAGCCTTCTCCACCGTCGCAACCACGTGACAGTATGAGCACATGACCGCCGATGCGTCCTGTAGCAATTGCAGTGTTGCGCTGCTTTGTCGTGGATGAATCTCCGTTTTCCGTCATGGAGGAAGAAAACAGCTCAAAGGTAGCATCGCGCAAAGTGAAATAAATAAATAAACAAATAAATAAAAGTAAAGAAAGAAAGAAATGAAAATGAAAGGGAAACCTAGTACGCCAGGCACGCCTATTTCCTTGATAGAGCAAGTGCTCCCGAATTACTTTTTACTTACCTTTTTAAACATCCTTGCGTTGCGTGTGAAAGATATTTATAGAGAATTCAACCATATTGCTCCACCATTAAAGTTTACATGCTTGTCTTTTTTAGCGTACAAAAAAGCCTAAAATTTTATAAATCACCTCTCACTTCCATGTCAATACACAGTTCCAAGAAAGAGGCATAAACCATTCTTTTTTGTTTGGAAATCTTCCTTCTTTTTAATAAATACTCGATTGACGTGTCCTTCGGTCTGGCTGATTCTTAATCAGCTATTTTGAGCGCGTGCCATTGCAAAGAACCATCATCATCATCGCGAAAGAAGAAGACATGAAGTCATCCGCAGAGCACGCCATTGTCCTGGGCATCCCAAGAACGACTGACGTAGAACAACCGGGTAATGAATGCGGAACAGAAATGAGGCATACCGGTGACTACCAGGAGCTCGTCGATCTGCTGATGAGTGTGCCGGCGCCGACCACGACGAGATTTCGAGTAAGCGACCTGAGGCGTGTTCTTGGCTGCTGCCCCACGGGGGACTTGCTCAAGGAGTACGTGGAGAGTTCCGAAGCCGAAGGCAGGAACTCGCTCTCTTTGCGGGAGTGTCGGGATGCCTACCGCTCCGGCAAGTACCTCGAATCGAGGCCCTGGATGCTGCACGTCCTGCGGTTCTCGACTGTACTCGTCGTAGGAAGACGCCGTCGCCAAGATGCCATACTGAAGCGTGTTGCGAGTCTCTCTGTGGACACGGAAGCACTGGGGTGCATTGATAGGTCGATCAGAGTGAACATGTGCTCCACGACTTGCGGATTCGTTACTCACTTTCCCTTTTTCATCCTGATCGTCTCCCTTGTGCAGGTACGTTGCATGCCTCCGACAATGTGCCACAACGGACACTGTAGCCGTGTTTTGTTTTGAGGTAGGAACCTTAGGTGCGTCATCAAACGCGAACATTTAACTCCCGCGTTCCACGGCGTCAGAGCCGACACAAGCGATGCAAAAACTACGCTTATGCCATAACGCGAACTTCGGAAGTGTGCACGCAACTTGTGTCATTGTACTGTGCACTCCGGGAATGAAAGAGGCATGCTTGCCGGCATGGAAGAAGGGAACAGACAGAAGGGAGAATTGCGCACTGCTATAAATAAAAAAGATGAGTAAAAACGGTACACACACGCCAATCTTCGCTTTCTGCCATTTTCCCAAGAGAAACAAAATGGCTCCTGAATTTTGAATAGTAAGTCTTTTCTTTTTAACTGCAGGTTGCCACGTTCGCCTATCACTGCGCAGTCCCTTCTTGCTCCGAATCCACCCAGGACCGCCAGCTCTGCCAATTACCCTGCAACACCTCTCTCATCTTCAATCCACGCAAGCGACGTGAACTGTGGCGTTTCCTGACTTACTCGCTGGTGCACGACGGCTTCTTGCACCTCGGCAGCAACGTGTTTCTCCAGATCGCCTTCGCCTTCCCGCTTGAAGTGGTCCACTCCTGGTGGCCGATAATGCTCGTATACGTCAGTGGTCTGCTCTGCGGTCCGCTGGCGCAGTCGTTGCTGAACCCTGACGCTTTCATTGCCGGTTCTTCGAGCGGAGTGTACTCCCTCCAGACGGCGCACTTGGCACACGTCCTAAGCAACATACGCGACATGGAACTTGCCGGGCTCAGAATAGCCATGCTGCTTCTCGTTTACTTGAATGACCTGTACTCGATCGTGCGGGGCCCCCAAAGCCGCCATGGCCAGCTTTTGAGCTACGCCGGTCACTACGGTGGCGCGCTGGCTGGTCTGGTAGTAGGGCTACCTGTGCTGAACTCAGCACAACGCAAGCGTTTCTATTTGTGACACGGATCTCGATAATAAACTTTCTTATAGACGAACTGATTTCCTATCTACCTAGTGCTGGCGCAATGGTGTCACTAACACAGGAAAAGGTTATCCCGCGTTTCTATCCACACTATAGGGCTTTTACCTATTAGCTCAGAGATTTTTGAGTGGCGCGCTCTCACGTGTGACGTCATAGCGGGAACTCCGCTCTCAACCACACAGCAGCAGCCACTGCTCTTTCTATTTCCACTGTTCTTCTTTATATTCTTCCCCCACTTCTACAAGGCACTGCACCATGTCGCCAATCGCGCAGGTGAAAATTAGATGCCTTTTCTTTGTCCTCAAAAGTGAATTACAAGAACTACTTACGCGGATAGTCTGTTTCAGGTGGGAACTTTGCCGAACGAACAGTCTTAAGGGAGTCAATAAACGCCTGCAACGAACGTTCTTGAGTGCAAATATGAACTTGTTTTAGTTGCGTGCTCAATCAACAAGGTTATATTTTTCCCGGATAGCCAGCGAGCACACCGATTGCACTGACTGCATTGCTGGTGAGAAAGTGAAACTAAGTGTTCTCACTCGTCGTCTAGAGCTTCCCCCCTTACGATACTAAATAGTGTTTTTTTTCTCGACATTTCAGTAAGCGTGCCTTTCTCCCGCATCTACACGTATGTAGATCAACCTTCCGAAAGTTCCTGGTGTCGCTGACGGCGAAGCTGTGTAAGACGAAGGCCACGTTTTTCAATGCGTGGTTGAGGCCGTTTACTGGAACCGCATCACCGTCGAGGCTCTAGTCCTGCAAACAAGTAGACTTGCGAACCCACCAAGCAACGTCTCTGTGGTGATCGAGTTCATGACGAACAGTGACCATTCAGTTTCTCTTTTTATGATGATTCTACGAAGCATCGTCGGAGATGAAGAGGAAGACAGCAAAGAGAAGGACAACCATAGAGTAACATTAAGCTTTCAATTGCTGGATTATTATTCCTGCAAAATTATTCCAACATAAGCAGGAGCTTTGTTTAACCACGCTAATTTCTAGTCAATGTAGTGAATGATTGTCTGATCTGAATGAGTGACAAACAATTATTGCACTTCTTTCATTCTGCCAAGGGTGTCTCTTCTTTTTCTTTTTTTCTCTGGTGGGTGGTTCGATATTGATTATAAAAAAATCTCACTGAATAAAGTCATCGATTTTTCACCGATACCCCGAGTGGGTACGAGCCACGGCTGTGTTATCATCATTACCATCACCATCATCATATGGAGAGAGAGAGAGAGAATAAATTGAGGGAAAGGCAGGGAGGTTAACCAGAATTATATGGAACAACGCTCACTGATATCCACGTGGACTTGGCTCTGGCTTGTATGTCTGGCGTTACGTGTTTATACACACCTTTTGAATATACTCTATGACGCCTTTTCTCTTCGTAACATTTTGGTGGAGAGTGCGGGGCCTCCCTTTCACCATCACGACGATTCTCCGTAGCGGACGCTCCTTGGCAGCCTCTGCTATGTCTACTCAAGAGCAATACGAGGATGCATCGGAAACGTCTACAACCGTGCCTCGGCGAGCCGGGCCAGCCACGCCGCAACAAACCGCCGCTAACTGCACCGTCGTCCTTTTCTCCCCGTAACAATATTTTAAATACGAAGCATTTCTTAGCGAACTTCGGTGACCTTGAGCGTATCTATCTATCATCTAGCCGCCTACAACTTTTAGCTCTCCGGGCCGTTTCGATAATGGTATCAATACCAAACTTGGTATAGCATAACATGACTGTATGAAGAACATGTTTGACTGGTCGTAACGTGAAAATCATAACATGCATGTCTTGAATGTGGTGACTTATATTTCATGGTCCTGAAGATTTTGTGGTGGTTTCGTTCACATGGCATGTTGCAAAACTGGTATGGTATGGCATGATTGCATGGCGAACACAAGCGACAGATCCTAGCATGAAAATCATGACATGCGTGTCATGTAACAACATGACTACATGCCACGCTTATGATGCCCTCACGGCCGTTTCGCTAGCGTCACATATACCAAATTTGCTATTACAATACTTGAATGGTTGACGAAGGTATGTGAGTGGCGCAAAAATAGTAATCATGAAATGCGTGTCATGTAACAACATGACTACATGCCACGCTCATGATGCCCTAGCGCCCGTTTCGCTAGCTTCACTTATACCAAATTTGGTATTACGGGACGTGAATGGATGACGAAGATATGTGACTGGTGCAAACATGATAAACATGAGATGCGTGTCATGTAACAACATGGCTACATGCCACAGTCAAGGCACAAATACATTTCGACGTGACGCGGTGCGCGTGCTCGCCGGCGTTCATTTCGTCGCGTCCCACCGGCATTGCCACGCCGGGTACTGGTCCTGCCATATACTCGCTGGCGCGCGCCACGCTGCGTTGCTTTGACGCATGCGCGTCGCAGCGCATCCGGCATCCCTCCGTCACGAAAAGAGGGAGACGTAATGCTGTCTGGGTAACGCATCGGTGCGAAATGCAGCATGTCACATTTCGCGCCGGCTGCTATCGGGCCGCGCTGACGGACACTGGTCGCGCGTGGCGTCAGACTATAGATTGCTCGCGTTTTGCTAACGTAGTGTTGCAGTGCCTAGCGTGCGCGCGCATCAACGCTACACTGAAGTATATTGGGTCCTTCATGATGCGCTCGCGGTCGTTTCGCAAGCTACACACATAACGAATTTGGTGTTACGTGACGTCAATGGATGACGAAATATATGACTGGTGCAAACTGGATAATCATGACACACGTGTCATGTAAGAACATGACAACATACTATGCTAATAGCGTAAACGCGGCTGTTTCACTAGCTCTACATAAAATAAATTTGGTATCCCGTGGCGTGAATAGGTGACAAAAGTAAAGGACATATCCAAACATAATCGTGACTTGGAAGTAATGTACGGTATCATTTACCTCTACCACGTAACGTTGCGCCGAATTCAAACTGACCTATCAGCATTTCTCATTCGTGCTTCGCATGTCATCGATTCCCACTGTATGTGAGTTCTGCCAATTATTTTTTTTGCGTTATTTCTCTAGTGACAGTTTTTACTAGTGACATGTTTTTTCATTAGATTCTTTACTAGTGATAAAGTTTTCACTAGTGACATATTTTAGATAATCGCTCATTACTTCTGCCACTCTGGCATTCGCAAACTACACACGAAACAATAGCGGCAGGGCAGCTGTTTATATTACTGCTTCGCCAGTAAATCGATCGTTCACAAAATTTACTAGAAATGTGAAGTAGCATCAAGTTACCGAATTTAGTTACCGAATGTAGTAATGGGCGTCGGCAGCGTTTTGTCTAAATTGCCGGCGCAAGCCAGTGTAGACTCGCTGTAATCGGGGGCTTGAGGGACAGGTGTTTGTGGGGCCGGGGGAGGGGGCAAGGGTGGGTCGTTGCACACCCTGGCCAGTGCAAATGACAGCAGCTGGTCTCAGCTCAGTAATGTTGGTTAAGTGAGAGCAATATGTGAAGTAGTTCACATTAACACCACACATGGCCATCGCTTAGGTATTAGGATATACCAAATAGTTATCGCTGACTATATATGCCACGCACAGGCCGACAGAGATTAACATGGCAAAGGCAAGGTCGGTAGAGTTTCTGTTCACGTACACGACATCAAGAAACGCTTGAAGAGCTCCGCTTTTTAAAACGTGTATGCACTGCCTGAGGTGAAAACCTTCAGAGAATGCCCACTAAACAGCGGCAGCAGCTTTCGCTGACAAATTTGCCCTAAGCAGTCTGCTAGGCACGCACTCGTCTTCAAGAGTGAACACGTATATAGTACGTACAACCACGGTCACCACATCTGTGTTGAGTTCCCCAGCAGCAGCTTTTTGTTTGGTGCCTCGACCCATTGAGACATTTGCGGGGTCTCACGTGCCTTGTCAGAAGCGTGTGCTGCCTACTACAGTAGTCGATGCGACTGCGTCAGAGTCCGAAACTGCCTCAAGGTGTCGCCCCGCAGAGCGAAAACCTAAGATTCCTAGATAGAAAATTGGCATCTCATGTGCTCTACGCAGACGTGCCCGCGGTTGTGCACCAATCAAATAAAGCCGTAGTTTCAGATACCCAATGCCGCTCAGCGGCGCTTACAAGGCACGCTCACCAGGGAGGCGATTCCGAGGCCACGTCGTGGGCTTCCTGTCTATAGGGGCCTTCGCGGTAGGGTTTGGACGGCACCCCACCTGGTGTAAGTGGCCTATGCTTGTTTCCGGTGTGCAATAAATGGCTGAAATACAAGCGAGTCAATCAAACATGGTTACAAGTTTAAAGAACAGTGCACGGCACGCATTGCGGGTATCGCAGAAGTCACAGCCAGCGAAGTGCTTGCTGCACGCGGTTTATGAAGGTGAGATACGCTTTCCCATACTGCGCTTGTCTATCCGATTCTTCTTCCGCTTCTGGGTTCTTAGGATAGTTGTGAAAGCTAACGCCCTTTTCACGGGTGGACGATGTACACTGAGGTACAGAGCAGCTTCACCCAAGTGCAGCACTCACCGCGGAGACAAGCGGCCGCAGGTCTAAGAAACGAAGCACGGAGCTCCTAAAACGAGTGTCAAAAGCAGAAACCAATGATTGAGCGAATAGCGTAAGTAGCCACGATACACACGATAACGAAGTGATAGGTCCGTGGTTGATTCTTACCACAGGCCCTACGTAGCAGACGAAAACGTGCGCATCCCGCTCTTAGGTCACGCCGGCGCGGTTCGCAGCGCTGCCATCGGTCGCACACCAGGCGAACAAATGAGCAGAAAACACTGTTCTTGTTACCTCAGTTACGATTCCAACGTAAGTTTCAGAATAGCCTTTCTTTCAGTTATTTTTGTTATGGTGGAGCTGGACATCGCGCTTTATACCGTCAGGACATGCCATGTCAGTCATCCCAATATTGAACGCGTATAAGGTTGGACCACCTTGAGCACAGCAAACAAGTTTCACTCCGTGAGCTTAAGTTCAAGCCGAAAGCCTAAGAAGTGTAAAGAAAGGCTGCGGTACAGTTTTTGCTGGCATGCTGGTCCTCCAAACGACAGATACTTTCTCCTTGGACGTCTGGCTTTGTCGCGAAAAAAACGTGCCACTGTAATCGTGCATATTTTGACACTGCGTAAAAAAATGAATAAATAAGCATTTGTACGCTGTAGGCAGTGTAACCTTATAGCTATCTTCTGAGTCAATGGACTGTTGAGCCCACCACTTTAAATATAATCTGTTACTTGCGTCTTCAATAAATCATGCATTTTTGCCGCAAATTTTAAAGCTCGCAAAACGTCAAGCAGATCCTAATTCTTGAAGCTTAGTCATGATTTCTTATGACTTCGTTTTATCATAAATGCGAACCAATTTTGCTATATCACAACTGCCGAAAACTTTATCAAATCATTTCGCAGTTGGCGTACAAGCGTGCCTTCGATCGTCTTGCATATCAATAATTTTTTTTTAATTTTGTTTTTAATTGTGGCCTTCTCCGCATATGCGTTATATTATTTATATGGAGGGCTTTCGAAAATAAACTGGTAGTGTTCTTATAGTTATACCCTTGTCTACGTCCTCCTAACATGGCGAGAAATCCGCAACATTGTGAGAATTATGAGACACAGGCGTAGCCGATACAGAAGCAACCACAAGACGAATGCTAGAATATTTATAGAGCAAATATATGGCTTTCAGAAACATCGTTATTGCTTTAAGCCAGGTGAAACAGTAAGGTTCTTTCTACAACTATTACAAACACACGTGGCTGGGGCCACCTATTATAAAAAATTAACTTCCCAGGAAAAAAATCTTTCTTTCAAAGTAATGAAGTTCAGATGACATTCCTTTAATATATGCCGAACTTCTGAAACTTCAGACGCAGATGTCCATCAGATAGCATCAGGGCACCTGGCACATCTCGGTACCCTTAATAAGCTGAATCAATACATGTGATCAACAAAACGCATGGCAGTGTCACCCTGCTCACTGCGCACCATAGCAACGTGTGTTGTTTCGTGCTTTAGACTTGAACAAGATTGCGCGAAAAAAATAATAAAACCCATGAAAGATTCATAAACTGATATCGGCTTGGGCGGCAGGTGAAATACTAGAAACAAAGTCGGTGCTCGCGTGTCCTATGGTGTCCTTGATGGTGGCCCATCTGCATACTCTGTCACATTCAAAAAGCTAAGATGCGCCCGGCACTGTAGGGCCTCTTCCATCGACTCGCTCCTCGAGGTTACTCTTTCCCAACAGTGGCGTACGCGTGCATCGACAGACTTGATCAGTTCCGACAGACAGCTGCCGTGGTTTACCTGAAATAATAGGTTTTGTTGCGTCATTGCGAACATGGGCAACAGCATGACGGCCGCCAGAGAGCAGAAGATATGGATGGAAGAGATTCCCTTCTGGACCGATATCTACCGAAAGTTGCAGCGTGGCGACAAGGCCTACGCAGTGGAACTGAGGGCGTTCCTCACGCCGATGGCCAAGTGCCCTGCGAGCGTCATTGAAGAGCTTAGCGAGCTCGTGGACCAAGACGAAAAAAGCTGGCTCACGCTGGAGCAGTTCCTCCTCATCACAACCTCTGGTCGTCCCTCGACCGTAAGGCAGAAGCGATTCCACAGGGTCGTCACGGCAGCCGCCAACGTCTACGCTGGGAATCTGCAGCGAGCGAGGGCGGTGCGTTGCGCCATGGTCGACTATCCGCTCTTCGTGCTTCAGGTAAAAGTTCGTGATGTTGTGGACAATGTTTGAAATAGCGGGCTGCGTTTGATAATGCAAACACAGTCGAGCCATACCAGCACTTCCATTCGTAGGTTGCCAAACTCACCCATAGTCGGCTCGCTGAGGCTGACTCCGACTGACACCGAGACGTGAGTCTGTGTCTGAGTGAGTCCGGGTCAGTAATGGTTTGGTGACGTTGAGTCCGAGTGAACTCTAAGCGCAGTATATGCTTCTTGAATAAGCCTGAGTGAGCTTCACCATTTATCGCCGACCTATGGCTCTATCTGGCGGCCTATCAGCATTAATATCAGCCTCTAGTCACTCACGTTTGTAATCAAGCTCATTCGCACATATTTCAGCAAACAAATGTTCATGTGCTATGTCAATATTTTTGATCAGGGACATCAGTTGTGGAGGATGGGCAGTGCCAAGGCTTTCCCCTACAAACTCTCTCACAGGAACGCTCTTGATCTCTCTTGTGAGTCACGTATTTTAAATGCGGAGCATTTATTAGTCGCACGATGTCGCGTTTCGTCGTAGACATCGTCCAGACCCCCACTGCGCATGCTCGACTCGTCTCGGGCCTCGTCTCGTCTCCCTCGAATGCGGGTGGTATGTATAATTTAATGAAGGGTGCCTTTACTTGGCTTTCACTTGACTTGACGCTTTGCTTGACTTGAGTAGACGCAACATTCACGCGATACCCCCCACCACTCTGCGACAAATTTACTCGAGTTCTCCCCATGGGAAGATGCGGGTGCCATTTTTTTATAGAAATGTCCTGAGTGAATTGCAACCACTGATAACCTGTATTTGAAGCCGCAAGGTCACAAGGCGTGTCGTAGAATACCCATTATGTGAAATATTAGCGTTTAAGATCATTCATACCATCACCAGAAAAGCTAATTTCATGCCAGCAGACTTCCTCAGACTCTTTTAGACACTGGCCAAGCTGAGTTTGTGTTTGAGTGAGTCGGGCTGAGCAATACTTTGGCGAAATTGAGTCCGAGTCAGTCCAGCTGAGAAATGGTTTAGGGAGTGTGAATCCGAGTGAGTTCTGTTCAGAAAAACATCAGCGAATCTGAGTCCGAGTGAGCTCTCATAGCAAAAGGTATTTCTTGAGTGAATCTGAGTGAGTGCCAACATTCTTCGCCGAGACATGGTTCACATTGAGCTGCTTTACTTTCGAGATGGGCAGTAAATTTGCACCACAAAACTTACAGGTAAAAATCGAATCTCGGGCGAGTTGGCAAGGGTTCATTATATAGGAATTATTCGCGGTGCATTGACGATAGAGGAAATGGACATGATAAGCAGAGGCGAATAGTGCTTCTATCTTTGCGTCTACTTATCCGGCCTCTTTTCATCATCATGCATGCACCACGAATAATTCGTTATATATACGTAACACCTTACACAGGTGGGCATACATTAACGTTCACTACCTTGTAATGAATGCGCCAGTAGTGAAAACGAAGTACAGAGGCTGACACGTAACCATGCAAAATTTTTGTTAGCTGTTTCCTCGAGACATTTCAAGGCAAGGTCTTGAAACCACGTCCGCGGCGTACGCCCAGGCCTACTTCGAGATGCCAGACTTGAATTCTATCTTGATTCAGCAATAAATCGTATGTTCTTTTTCTTTAATCGATTTCCCATTTTGAATAACCACGATCCAGACATCACTTCTTGAAGCTTGGGTGCGTTTCTACGCAGCCCCACCTCGATGAACTTTTATGGAATGTGCAACTGCAGCACTCGACGCGGCAGACAGGCTCAGCCTTTCTGTCCTGATGCTGGAGCGGCTCGCTACTAACACTTTATTGATATGTGGGGTTTAACGTCCAAAAACGACCATATGATTATGAGAGACGCCGTAGTGGAGGACTCCGGAAATTTCGACCCCCTGGGGTTCTTTAACATGCACCCAAATCTGAGCACACGGGCCTACAACATATACGCCTCCATCGGAAATGCACCCGCCGCAGCCGGGATTTGATCCCACGACCTGCGGCTCAGCGGCCGAGTATCTTAGCCACAAGACCACAACGGTGAGGCGCTACTAACACTTGCCTTAAAGGACCACAATGAAGCTTTTTTTAAATCTAAACATAAACTAATCTCACAAAATAAGTCAGCCGACAGTAGAGTTAAGATGGGTTACCACGTATATTTAGACTGGTGTCTGGCAGGGAAAACCACATGGGTGGCTAGATATGTGCCAGAACAAACAACTTGCTGCTGATTACTGCCTGGTCGTTGAAAACGTTGGTCATTTATCTTTGGCAATAATCTCAAACAAATCACTTAGTTACAGCGTACTGCGCGTGACGCGTGCCGGCAAATGTTATACGGGCCCACGTCTATTTCTTTCAGCCACTTTCTGCTTCCTCGGTATTCAAATAAGCCACGAATCAGTTATATCAGAACATTGGTTCATAATTAATCCGAAGCATTTCTTTGCGAACTTCGGTGACTTTGACTGTAATTGTCTGTCTGTCTGTCTGTCTGTCTGTCTGTCTGTCTGTCTGTCTGTCTGTCTATCTATCTATCTATCTATCTATCTATCTATCTATCTATCTATCTATCTATCTATCTATCTATCTATCTATCCATCTATCTATCTATCTATCTATCTATCTATCTATCTATCTATCTATCTATCTATCTATCTATCTATCTATCTATCTATCTATCTATCTATCTATCTATCTATCTATCTATCTATCTATCTATCTATCTATCTATCTATCTATCTATCTATCTAGCCGCTTACTTTTGGATGCTCTCGTGGTCACCCCCTTAACTTGGCGTGAAACAAAATTTAGCATGGAAGGGTAAGATGGTTCTACGAATATGATGCGCTGGTCAAGCCATGAATAATGTCAAAATCCCGTCTCGTACGTCGTCAAACGCTTCCCGCCAGACAGTGACACATACCAACCAGTGAATATGTGTCGCTTGTACGTGAGTATGTGCCACAAGTGATAGACACTTAGCAACGACGAGAATACACATCGGCAATCTTAAAGCGCGAGCGTTAAGAAATACCTGACATCGGTAGCGTCAACCCGACGAATGCAAAGAATAAGTGCCAGGGTCTCAGCTGGAATTGAACCCAAGCATTCTGCGTGGCAATAAAGCATTCTACGCCAGGTCTCGGAACTACTTTTCAAATAGACGCTAATCTTCGTGAATCGTCAATAGTGGTTGCATTGCTGCCTACCCAAGTTTATTAACGTTACACATGTGCTCCTTTGATACAGCCGTCACGTCAGGTTAACGTCAATTGTAATTAGTTGTCATGCGCTGACGTTGGTGTATGTAGAAGTGTCCAGGGCCAGCATCCTCGCGAGCATCAGCGCTTCATATCAGCTTCTGGCATTGCTAATACGCATGTCCCAGTTGGCATGGTTGCGCAAGTGCAAACAACTGGTTATAAAAACATATGCAACTCTTCAACATATTTCTGTGCGCGCAACATTTGTGCATGCATTTAACGTCATTCCATGACGTGTCACTCGGTGAAAAAATCCCAACATGATCACATCCGTACGCTTCGCATAACGACGATTCCCAGCTACGTGGGATCTGCCGAATTTTTTTATGTACTTCTATCACCCTCATTGAGTTTTACTAATAAAGTAAGACTGAAGGCTAGGTTCCCGGCAGAAATTCGGAGTGCGAACATTCAGCCGTATTTCTAAATTTGTTTGCCGGATTCGAACTCTTTTAGGAAACTAAAATATTGATGATGTCTATGCTTTTTTTGCAGGTTCTCTTCTTCGTCCTCATCACAATGACGCAGATCGCCACGTACGTCCTTTACCTCTACCGATGCTGTCCGACAAGCACCAAGGAAATCGAAGACTACATGCGCTTCGAAGACAAGCTCGTCCTCGTGATGGAGCGTAAGCGCGAGTTCTGGCGCAACTTGTCGTTCGTTCTCGTCAGCTTCAACGGCCTTTCACTGGCGGCCAGCGTGGTCATCCAGGTGCTGGTCTGCCTACCAATCAGCTTCTTGCACAGCCCCTGGAAGATACCGTTCATCTACTCCGCAGGAGCTTTCACCGCTGCTCAAATCACTTATGTCTGCCGCTATGGCTTCACTGTGGGTGCCTCAGCAGCCATTTATGCCGTACTTTGGGCGCACGTGGTCGACGTCTTGGTTAACCACTCCCAATTCGGCAGCGTGGTCGGACGCGTAATCGTGGTTTTAATCTACACCGTTGCCGACGCGGCTCAGGCGTACTACCTGAATCACATTCCGAGTGTGGGCACTCTTCCTCACCTTGTCGGTGTGGCGATCGGCTGCACGATGGGCGTTGTGATCCTGCGCAAGAATCGCGGTCAGAAATGGGAAGAGTGGGTTTACCGCGTCTTGAAAGTCCTTCACTGGGCAGTGGTATTGTTTGCACTCGAACAGGCTGCCATGGGATTGACATATTAACATGTACGTAAGAAAAGTTGGCTGACGGGCAAAGAGCACTAAAATTACTTTCTTTATTGTGTTCGTGCAGATAGAATAAATATGACTGCAAGCGTGCAAATTTTGAGCTGTTTCCAGGAAAATGTTTCTACTCAAGTACACATTTACTTGCACCCAAAGGGTGCACCACATACTTTTCATCACAAGGCATGAGGTCTCGCTATGAATAACACACAGGGTACGCGGCCTATTGCACATTCCAGGATTTACACTCTTAAATAAGTTATTCCTGCTAAATATTCTTACCGCTGTCACACGGCAGCCCCCGAACTCCATTTACCTCCGTTCAGCATCCAACTTCTTAATGAAGCTTTGCGAGAATGGCGTTGCGACCATGCTACACGGCTTAGTGCAAGCTTTCGACGGAAGCCGCACCGGACAAAAACGGTGCTGCTTAAAGTATGCGAGAAAGTACACTGCACCCGAGCGTGCATCTCGCACGTGTGTAAAAAAAAAATATACGAAACACTTGCCAGTGGCGGCTTGGCGAAGCATTTGGCGTAGACAGTGCAGACACTGATTTCCTCGAAAGTATTATTCAAACTTGCACTACACGGTGTGTGATGCTGTACCGAACAAAAGTGCAATGTGAAAATCTACAATAGAGGTTTCAAAGACAACTCTGTCAGAGCGGTGTTTTTAGTACTGAGCAGTAGCTATGGGGGAACGAGAGAACACCATCGACTCGAAATGGCCATTACCTAACTCCCTTTTTAAAAAGCTTTATTTTCCTTCCACGGCGAAATAGAGACCATTTGACATGAACTGCATTTCCCTGGACGAAAACAAGAAGTTTATAAACGGAGTTTTGTGGTAAACGTATGACAGGGGTATAAAACACAGATAACACCTCAGCTGCACTTACACTGTAAACAGAAATAAGCCGAAATGGGAGTAAATGACCTTGTCCTCTAGCGCACGCCCAGATGGGAGTTTTATAAACACCTCCGTTGGGAGTAAAAAATTTACTCCCCATCAATAGGGGGTTTTTGCATGGTGCCAGGGGGGGTTTTATTTACATCCAATGAGGAAATTTTCAGGTCAGTATGGGAGTAAATTTTTTGCATCGACAAAAAAAAATTACGTCAGCAGCCGTACCATGCGCAAGCGTAACTTTAATTACATAACATTTAATGCGACAACAATGATTACAGTACACAAACATTATCTCAATGTTCACGTTATATCACAACACTCGCACTCACCACAGCTTGCCACACGCAGTACACACCTACCATATAGTCACCGGGTATATATATGCACCACATTTTTACCTCCCATGTAGCCCTGGTGAAAGCCTTTTTTGCGCTAATAATTAGGCAATAAATACGCACGGCGTAAGTATGAACTTGCGGTGGTCTGATGTAAGCACTTCAACACACATGCCTTTTATCCTAAGCCTGCCTAATATTTATTATTTTTTTACTATAGCGAAAAAGTTTCATCAGTTGACGCTCTGTCGTACGGGCTGAATTTGCATTAGCAGTGCTGTTTGTGGACCCGTAAAATGCACGGAATCATACACAAAGTGCGCGCGGCCTTGAATGAACACAATAACGAGGCACATTTAGCAGCTCCAGCGATGAACCGAGGTAGACCGCCGCTACCGCGTTCGACGACTAAGCCTCACTCACGAGTACGGCACGGTGATTCGATGAATGAGAGCTGGCGATCACAAAATGCTTGCTGATGTGCAGTTTACGTCTCGTTTTTCCCATGCACAGAAATAGGTGTCCGCTATCCACGCAGTTTAGGCTACGGAGCGATAGACTTAAACGAATGAGACGGTTCGCAGTCGCTGTTCCCGTTGCTCGCATGCATTGCATGTATAGCTCGCAGAGCTCGCCACGGCGGCCGGTGCGCAGTGCGAGCTCGATACGATGCCGGCTTGATACCGACGCCATAGCGAGGCCTTCTTACCGCTTAGATGTTGCAGCCGGTGAAATACCGGTGACACTCCGAGAAGCCACTATCGGCGGAGACGGGGCGAGCGCGTCGCCGGCGCAACTCTCAGACCGGTTGCCGGCCAGCCTGCCGTAGTCGAGCGAAGCCTACTTCAGACCACTTCGAAGTTTCTGATGGTGAAACTCCAGGAGCAGCCGCTGACGATCGTAACAGCTTGCTTTTGCTACAATTAATTTATTCTTCGAAGTTTTTTTGTTACTCGGCCCTTTGAAGCGCGGCATTCACGACGTTTCGTTGAGGATCGGACCGATGTGCAGCGTGGTTTAACGGTGCGAAATATATTGAAATGTTCCCAGTAAATACCAACCGGTCGTTGCTATTCTTCGCTGCACTTATAATTTCGTTGCCTGTTGACAGATGCTTACACGGTTAGCCACACAAAGCACGTGTGTTTCACACCGACGTGCAAACATACGCCCGTACACACACATACACACACACACACACGCACACGTCACGCCCAAAGAGGGTTTTTAAAGCTCCTATAGGAAGTTTGTAACCACGTGACCTGAAACTCCCTGGGGAGTTTAACAAGGTCATGTCGTTCATAAACTCTGTGATTAGGCAGGGGGCGTTTTACGATGACATGTGCCGAGTTCACTCCCTACCAGGGGGTAAATAATTGGGACAGGGGAGTTTTGTGGGCTCATGTGCTGGAGAAACTCCCATCTCGGCTAACTTTTGCTTACAGTGTACAAAGCTGGCTGCGAATGAAGACAACACTACAGAGCACTTCCCAACGCTGCAAAATTTAGCGACATCTCAGGCTTTGATCACACGAAAAGCGACAGAGACACTTGGCGCCTGCCAGATATGCGCACTTTTTCCACTTCGATTTCCCAGTGAACACGGCTCATATGCGCGATGAATTCACTTTTCATGGTCTGCTTCATAACAGGCTATGAAAAGTCTGCTATGAAGCAGACTTTTCATAGAATAATTATGGAGATATTTTTGTATGAAAACGCGGCAATTATAGTACAACTCCAGGTATAAAAATATGCGGTGATTCATCACTAAAATTATTTTTGGGTTCTATTATCAAATGAGATTCATTTCTTAACCACCTAAGGGCACTATCTATCTATCTATCTATCTATCTATCTATCTATCTATCTATCTATCTATCTATCTATCTATCTATCTATCTATCTATCTATCTATCTATCTATCTATCTATCTATCTATCTAATGTAAAGGTCTTTAAATCGAGCCTTACGTCAAAAATGATTTGTTTTGGTTGAAAGGAAGATATATATATATATATATATATATATATATATATATATATATATATATATATATATATATATATATATATATATATATATATATATATATTCAAATGACGCTTCGGCCCTCAAAGGAAAGTAAAAGGGAAAATTCCACAGAAGCAGCATATAAAGCCACAGTATTTTGCAAACAGAAGCTTTATCTTAAAAACGCTCTTGTGCTTCCGAACTCAATTGAGAAAGTCAATTGCTTAGTACCGTACCGTGTGCTTAAGGTAAAATGAGATTGGAGCGAAGTGCAGCAAAGGTACAAGAACATGGATGGATCCCACTAGGCCTCATTAGTTAGCATGACGAAGCAGAGGTCAGCAGAATCTCCCTGCCATCTCATAATACGTTTGTGTTCTTGTCCGCGCTCCCTACTTGAAGTAATTAGGCTCCAGGCTTTTCGCTGCCTACGTTCGATCAAGGGATTAAGTATTGCTTCCTACTTCAGATCTTAATATTATTTACATTCAAATGGATCTGATTGCTTCCGGACCAGCTCAGCGTTCTTTAGATGAAATATAAATTCTCATCATTCGGCGGCTGATTTCATTCTGCTTTACTGATATACTGATACAAACAGGTTCTGTGGATTCTTGAAATATATCCTCTGCTAGTGTTTTTTACGTACATGTATGCTTGGTTGTTCTCATAATCAAATGAACATAAGCGAAGAATCCTGATGTTTGGCTTGAAATGGTAGCGTGTACAAAGACAAGATTTGCCTTACCATGCTATCATTGCAGTCTGGTCTAGAATTCACCTGTGAGTAACATTTCGAAAATGTGTGTTCCTGCACAAAAACCCTTAAAAAAATAAAGTTATCACCAGCGTTTACGACACTGCCTAATGCAAGTTTTGAGAGCAGCTTAATTTTAGGGCGATGCCATCAGTGTTTGAAGTTCTGGCTATCCGCACATGTAGCAGTGTAACAAGCGCTACATATTGCCACAAAAACTCTCAGCGCTCTAGCGCTACCATGGTGTATTCTTACACCGTGAACGCTACACTAATCGACTCCGTGCAACTGCACGCGTCAGTCACGAACCAAGCGAAACGCACTGGATGGCTACGCACACCACTATGTGCATTCAAATGGTAGCGAACGAAGTGAAACTGCCGATAGCCCCGTCATGGCAAGCGAAGTCAGCTGCAGTGCAGGTTATGGTTTTGCATGTGCACGAGCTTCGGCTAGAGTTGCCAGCCATCCCGAATTTCAGACTGTAGTGACCTTTTGTGCACATTCTGTCATTCCCACGCCTTCATCGACGGGTCAGTTACTTGTCCCAAATTCGTTTCAGATCGTCCAGTTATACATTTTTATGCGATACAACGCACACAAAACAACGTACCTCATGACAAGAGACACGAATTTTGCACAAATCACGCACACAAAACAACGTAACTCATGACAAGAGACACGAAGTTCGCACAAATCGCACACACAAATCAACGTTTTGATGTGAAGCTTTGAGGGCTTTCGTGGAGTTGTGAGGGCTACGAGTGGTTTTAGCTACTTCAGCTGAACTTATCCGTGAAGTACGTGCGGCAACTCTTACGAGTACATTGTCTATCAAGTGGATCTGTTAAGAGCAGTGCGTAGCCAGTCGAAGTGCTTCAAGTGGCCAGAGCCATAAAGGAACAACGAATTCGTCTTGAAGATACCGGAATAGTGAAAACTACTTTTGGTGACTCGCTGTTAGTGTACGCACTCCCTCC